TATTATTATTATTATTATTATTATTATTATTATTATTATATCTACATGGCAGAATTAAAGCAGTTTGATACTACTTTACCTGTCATGGCTCCATCCTGTGGAATCCTGGGTTTGTAGTTTGGTGAGGTACTCAGCCCAGTCTGTGAGAGAGCTATGATGTCTTGCCAAACTACAAATCTCAGTATTCTGTAGGATAGAGTCATGGCAGTTAAAGTGGTGTCAAACTGATTTAATTCTGCAGTGTGGGTACACCATGGGTCTGAGTCTGGGATATTCCATTGTGAACCACCCACACCTGGAATCACCTGACCCACCCACATCCAAAATCAGGATATATGCTAAAGGGATCTTCTTCATCAAGGAAAATGGGTTTTGTTTTGTATTGTTTTTCACCTAAACTCTACAACGACAGCAGGAGGGAAACAGAACAGCAGCAAAATCATATGAAAAGTCTCCCTTGATGTTTTTAATTTGTTTCCTTCTTTGTATTAATATGTATTTTATTATTTTGTAGAATGTACGCCATTGGCAGGCTTTCTTTATCTTTTTTTATCTATTTTATTGACTGTATGTACAGTGCTGTGTAAATCTACAGCGCTATATAAATAAAGCGTAATAATAATAATAATAATAATAATAATAATAATAATAATAATAATCCCTCCTTGCTGATGCCATTCTACTTGTGTTGTTGTTTGCCTTCAAGTCATTTCTGTCTTATGATGACCCTATAATGGGGATTTCTTGGAAAGATTCAGCCAGAGAAGGGTTTGTCATTGCCTTCCTATGAGTCTGAGAGAATGTGACTTGCCCAAGGCCACACAGTGGGTTTTCATGGCCATGTGGGGATTCGAACTCTGATCTCCAGAGTTTCAGTCCAACACTCAAACCACTATGCCACACCGGCTCCATGATTCTACCTCTTTTCTATTATTAAAAGCCTCATGCAAAAAATTCCAAAGTCTTCTTCAGAAAAGGTGTACCTTATCCAGTGTTCCCAAATAAAGTTCATTAGGAGTCTTTCCTTTCTCATTGGGATCCAGCTGATATCCAAAGAGATTCCCATTTGCATTCACGGCTGCCACCTTTTCCCTTCTGTTTCTAAACAAATACCAGGCATTCTCATCAGTCTGAGCAAACGGGTTCAATGTGAGGTTGAATTTCTTAAGATATTCACGAACAATTCTGAAAAACAGAACAAGGAGGAAACACTTCTTAAAACACAAGATAGTTACATAAGAGAGGACATGATAACCTTATAACCTGAAATGTTAGCATGCTGCAGGTCAGTACAGAAGTTGATGGAAATCAGATGGACACATAATATAGGATAAGAATGCAGTCTGCATATTTCACTATATATTATTATGTCTCAATGATATGTTATTTCACTTTCCTCTTCTGATCATCCATAATCCACATGGTTTTTCTAAACATAAAAATAATGGTGTAATACCAGATTTTGAAGTGCAGACATTCATTGTGACAGTCCTCCAATGGCCACAGCTTCTGAAGTTTCCAAAAATGCATGCGTGCAGCTGTGTTGATTCATAGTTATATATTTGTATGTGCATTATAAACGCGCAGGCATGGATGTATGAACTTTAGTAGAAAATAGTTAATGCATTTAGTTAACAATTAATAAGCTAAAAAGATCTCATTCAATTAGTTTGCACTAAAACCTTTGCCAGCAAGAAGCTGTAAAATGTCACCTATGATTTTGTTCAAACCATTTCTCTCCCTCATCTTGGTCTTGAACTTGGGACAGAAGAAAACAGCAGCCTGCAATTCTGAAGCCCCATTTCTCATCCATCCCACCCACCCCACAAAAAAACCCTTCTTTTGCTTTTCCTTCCTTCCTTGGAAGTTATTTTTCTGTTGCTAATAGAATTGAAATTGTAGTCCCTGTCTTTTATTGCCATTTGTTTCATCTCCCTACATAGCCAAGAGGGGGGGGGGGTGGCCTCTGCATTGAGATATCACTAGAGCCTTGACCAGTGGCTTCCAACCTTTGATCTTCCAGATATTTGGGACTTCAGCTTCCATAATTCCTGACTGTTGGCCAAGTAGGCTGGGGCTTCTGGGATATGAAGTCCAAAATACATATGGGACCAAAGGCTGGGAAGCACTGGTCTAGACCATCATAACTGACAAATGACAGAAATAACATTTGAGACAAAATGTAGACCTGTGACTCCTGCATTTTGTTTGGCCAATAAAGGTATCACTCTTCTGTGGATTTTGTTTTATTTTGCTGCATGTATAATACAATTCCTGAATATGTTTTCTTCTTTCCCTTATACAATAATTTCATGTGATTAGCCTCCCTCTTCCTTTATGTAATTGATTCCCACATAGATCCCAGCTAAAATCCTAAAGATAAGTGCTTCAAAATCCAGTTTCTTGGAAAAGATGAAGAATCTTATTATAATATTCATTGCAGAACACAGGAGAACCACCTGTAGATGTAAAGAGGATCAGCCCCTTTCAGGCTGCCCTTACTATTTGTTCATTTAAAATCTTTTAAAACTGGGGTTAGCTAAACTATCACACTCTGGTCATGAAGAGAAATAAATAAAGGTTTCTGCAGCTATCTGCATTTAATAAAGAATGAAAATGAAAATGAAAAAAAAACTTCTTTAGCATAGTTTCTCATTTAATTGTTGTTGATAGGCAGCATAGTGTAGTGGTCTGAGTGTTGGACTATGACTCTGGAGGCCAGGGTTCAATTCCCATATCAGCCATGAAATCTACTGAATGATCTTGGGCAAGTCACATACTCTCAGCCTCAGGGAAAGGCAATGGCAAACCTCCTCTGAACAAATCTTGCCAAGATTTGCCATGAGAGGATGGCCATTAGTCAGAAATAACTTGAAAGCACACAACAACAACAAATAACAACAACAACAAATCATTTAATTAATTAATAACTTAATTCTGGAATTAAGTAATGCTGAAAGTAAAACTTAAGGCAATTATTAGAACATGTCTAACAACTGATGATTTAATTGACTTGTCTAATTAGTCATATCACTGTACTTATATAGATGTGTACAGTTCACAACAAGACACCATTGCTGGGAGAATCTACCCACCGCTATTGTTATTACTGAGATGACTGGAAGTAAAATCAGACAAAATGGAAATGCCTGAGATGGGTATCAAGTGACATAATTGTCCCTGTTAATCGAAAAGTTCCAGTATTTCAACACTGCCAGCACTGGTTCCATGGAGACATTGCACAAACATCATACAAATCAAGTATTTCCAAGGAATGGAGAGATGAAGGCTTGGACTGGGCTGTGAAAAGAGATACTAAGGGTACACTGTATAGCTACAGCCATCGTTCTACCCTGTTGAATCCTGGAAGTTGTATTTTCATTGGTAAGGTACTTAGAATTCTCTACTGGAGTGCTCTGGTGCTTTAGTTTTGGGGAAGAGACTAGAGAGGTCTAAATACCTTGCCAGACTATAAATCCCAGGACTCCATGAGACAGAGCCTTGATCATTAAAGTGGTATTAAATTGCTATAATTATCAGTCCTAACAATATATAAACTGCAGATTCATTAGTACTTTGAAGTAATTAGAGGGAGTAGTGTTAATCCATTAACCAGTTCCTTCATCTCTTTAGAATACAATAGAGCTTATCGCGGACGACGTGGCAATCATTTTAGACGACCCTAAACAAAGCATTAAAAAATTATGGACACTTCTAGAAGAAGTAGCAGAAGTGACTGGATTAAAAATTAACAAACCAAAAAGTGGTATTCTAACAAAAAAAATTTCAGTAAAAGATGAAAAAGAATTAAAACTCAAAACAGATTTAAAAT